AGTTTATTCTTATCATCCTGCCTTCATTCAAGACTTTTCATTGATCTAGAATTATAATAAATTAACCAGGAGTGCTTTTGTAGATCCCTCCATTCTGATGTTGGACATACTGCCTAAGCAGTCTTTGTGTTTCAGAGATGGGAGTTTATTCAGCTGTTCTTAACCATGATGATGCCAAAATAATGAAATGTGCATTATGACGTCATGATGCAAGTGCTACTTTTCACACTTGCTTTGCAATGTTGCAACACAGGTACATCAGGAGCAGAGTTTGTATCACAATGTCATAATGCATGACTTGTCACTTGTCTCCCCTAATGAATGCCTACAGATAGAATGATCATTTTCTTTGTTCATTCTGGGTGTTGGCTGCTGGAGGGAATAGGTTCTGGTCTGGACAGATGCAGACACAATTTCAGCAGTGAAATTGTGAGCATCCTAGGCCAACCTAAATCCAAGAATGCTAGGGAATTCCTGGAAGCTTGGTATTTAGACAGACCAGCCATCAATAGACATAGGGATAAACCACTTTTACACACCATTCAAAAGAGGCGACAAAAAAGGAAACAAAAAGACCAGAACACATCCCCTCCAGCAGCCAACATCCAGAGAAGCAGAGATTAACACCAGAGAAACAATCAAGCAGAAAACAATAACCTAACCAAGGAACTACCAAGGAGAAAACCACACCCCCACCAACACTGGCAGAGCAAGCTACTGTATATAAACAGGGAGCAAACCCCACACCCTTTAGCACTGATGATGTTATCTAGTCAGGTAATGAAATGTCTGCAAGCAAACAACCAAGCTTAGAGACCACCAAGGACTCCACAGATTTATTTGTCCTGTGGGTATTTTTCAGTGTTAATTCTGCTTTCTGTGATCTACAGCTTGGATTGCTAAAGCCAGGCTGAAAAAAGATTCATGAATGGATGGTTCAAATGATGGTTCTTGTAGTTGCATCATTTAGAGTATCTGTTACAAAGTGCATATTTCTTCAATACATAGAGAACGCTGGCTACGTACAAAAATAGCTGTACGATGACTTTAGGTTCCTGCTCAAATTCTGTAAAGCTAGAGAAACTTTTGACCATACATTAACTCAATCTATTTTCCTTACAAGATTGTGCTTTAGTTTTAATTAGATGTTCAGAAGTCTGCTTTGGGTTTGGTTTGGTTGGGTTGGGTTGGGTTTTGCCAAATAAGCTGTTTCCTTGCCACATTGGTTAAAGTAATAAGAGACCTTATACTGACATACAAGAATGAATAATGTATTCACACAGGTATTCTTTTCAAATATCATTCTTCTGTGTTTGGCAGCAGCTCAGCCTTTCTAGACTGTGTTTTGCTGGGAGTTATTTAATTCTTCAGATAGGATGGATAGCTAAAGTTCTGCCAGTTTTGTGACGTATGTGGTATTATTATGCAAGATGTAATGTCAGATGGAAGCTGGAATAAGTTTAGTTCCATTGTGCATTATAAATGCTGCTGCTCTGCATTCTCACACTAGAGTTAAGGCCTCTTGAGGAATCAGTAGTTCTTCTTTCAAAAACAGATTCTATAAACCAGTGGTTTTCAACTTCAGCAACTTCAAGATATGTGGACTTCAACTCCCAGAATTCCCCAGCCAGCATGGCTGGCTGG